CGGAGGGTCAGTGCTGAGGGAGCGCCGCGCTGTCGGAGGGTCAGTGCGGAGGGAATTGCAAAATGAGACAATGACATTGGCTATTTATACTGAATTGACTTGAATAGTCTGCTGTACGTTTCTGTTGTGTGAGTCAAGTGACCATTCAACATCACCCATCACCGACCAATGTTCAAAGTTACCCCCAGCTCTCCGAGAGCCAGCCAGGGAGGGAGAAGTGTTTTAAGAGTGGACGTAGGTCGGAAGGAAGTCCATTAATTCCTTTTAAATGTGACCAATTGTCGGTGTGTGCTGCAGGACTGGGCGCGGCAGACAGAGAGCCAGATCAAGAACTCATTTCGCAAACTGCACGTCTACTTGAACGATGAGGAGAGCAGCCTGATCCAGCAGGTTCGGCAAGAGGAGCGCGATTCCAGCCGCAAGCTGCAGAACATGACTGAGGAGGTGTTCCAGGAACTGAGGGTGCTGCAGAGCAGCATCCAGGAAGTCGAGAGGCAGATGCAGGATGGCATCCTCGACCTGAAGGTACGGTCCGTTGTGACTTCCTAAGGGGAATCCAAAATGGATGGATTCCCCCCTCCACCCCATCCCCCTTAAGCTTCTCCTTTGCAGCCATCTGGGTACCTTTCCTCAGCTGATCAACCGCTACGACTCTCCTCCATACCTCTTCAGTTGCATTTCAGTTTGGCTATCCCAATGCACACCTTGCTCCACCAGTCAACCTCATCTTCCCAACTTGTCCTGCCAGCACTCACTGACCTGCACTGGCTCCCAATCCAATGCTCCCTCCATTTTAAAATTCCTGCCCTTTGAGTTTGGATCTGCCCATTGGCTGTCCCCACCTCTATCCCGGCATTCTGTCCCCTCTCAACCAACCCACCTGGGTTTCTGGCCGCTTGAGCATGGCTACCCTTAGTCGCTGCACCGTTGTTAGGGAGACCAGGTTGCGTGTAATAGCATACATGGCCCGGCTGTCTCTTTCTTTTGGAAAAAACAAAGAATTCACCAGTTTTGGAATCAGTAGAAACCTCTTCACCCAAAGCTGCTTTTATGAGGAGAGGTTGATCAGATTGGGCCAATATCTGTTGGAATTTAGAGGAACAAGCAATGACCTCACTGAAGTATCCTGAGGGGATTGGAGAAGGAGGGTCTTTCCTCTGCTTGGGGACCGTAAGACCTCAGATATAGGAAGACAATTATGCCATTCGGCCCATTGAGTCTGCCCCGCTGTTCGATCATGGCTGATATGTTTCTCAGCCTCCCCCATTCTCCTGCCTTCTCCCCATAACCCACGATCCCCTTACTAATCAAGAACCTATCTCTGTCTTAAAGACACTCAATGACTTGCCCTCCACATCCCTCCGCAGCAGTGAGTTCCACAGATTCACCACTCACTGGCTGAAGAAATTCCTCCTCGTCTCAGCTCTAAAGGGTCGTCCTTCACTGTGAGGCTCTGCTCTCGGGCCCCCTCTCCTACTAATGGGAACATCTTCTCCACATCCACTCTATCCAGATATTCCATACGTTTCAATGAGATCCCACCTCCCCTGAGCCCCCAATCCTTCTAAACTCTGTCAAATACAGACCCAGAGTCCTCATATAACAAACCCTTCAGCCCCAGGATCATTCTTGTAAACTTCCCCTGGAACCCCTCTAAGGCCAGCACATCCTTCCTTAGAAATGGGACCCAAAACTGCTCACAATATACCAAATGCGGTCTCACCAGAGCCTTCTACAGCTTCAGCAGTACATCCCTGCTCTTGTATTCTAGTCATTTTGAAATGAATGCCAAACGTTGCATTTACCTTCCTAACTGCCAACTAGATCTGCATGTTAACCTTAAGAGAATCCTGAACTAGGACTCCCATGTTCCCTTTGTTCTTGAGATTTCCAAAGACTTTCACCATTTAGAAACTTTAGGGAGAACTTTAAGGAGAAGAGATTGAGGGAGAGGGGCTGTTGCTGGCAGGAAAGCACAACCAGGTCTTGTTGCTAGGTTCTAGTGACATCTGGTGCATAGTAGTCTGAGGGATGACCTTACACAGGTCTATAAAATCATGAGAGACGTAGGTCAGATAGATAGCTTTTCCTAACGGTGGCGGAGTCTAAAACTAGAGGGCATAGATTTAAGGTAAAAGAGGAGAGATACAAAAGGGTACAGAAGGGCAATTTTTTTCACACAGTTTGGTGAGTGTCTGGAACAGGTGGTAGTGGAGACAAGTACAATTTTGTCATTTAAATAATATTTGGACAGGTACATGGATGGGTTCGGTGTGGGGGGATATGCAGGTAAATGGGACTAGATTAATTGTGAAAACTGGGCGGCCTGGGCATATTGGTCCGAAAGGCCTGTTTCCATGCTGTAAACCCCCTATGACTCTGGATGACACGTTGGCACAATGCTGTGCACTACAACAACTTGAGTCTGTGTGGCAGCTTTAATGTCATGAAGAAGCTTCACAGGGCTGTTATCAAATAAAATCTGACACCGATCCACGTAAGGAGGTACAGGGCAAGGGGGGAGCCAAACTGTTCAGTTCTGCGGAGCTTCTTAAAAGACGAAAGCAAGATAATGGGCCCTATGTAAGTTCCAAAGAGGAGTGAGAATGTAGAGAATGCTGCCACATTGGGAAAATGAATATGAACCGTGCAAAGCATTCAGGGAAAAGGTCGATGGGTGTGAGGGAGGAGGAAATACATGGGTACAATGACAGTGTATTAGGGAGGAAGCTCAAATGCAGCATTAACACGGACATTTAAAAAGTGTTTGATGGCGTGTTTCCTATTACCTGAATAATCCTGTGGATTAAGTGGCATGATCCTCTGCTGATGGTGTTTCTTTGTAGCCCTTCCCAAAGGCACTTATAATAATTAAGTGCAAAGGAACCTTTTGCAAAACCTTCTCAAATCAAAAAAGTATTTAGCTAACTCATAAATGGACGATTGTAATTTTTCTTTTTGTAAATTCATGGGATCGCTGGCTAGGTCAGCAAGTATTGCCCTGATGTGTGTGTGGATGGCGTCATCAGTTTAGACATGTTATTACAGAGGATAACCTGCAAGCTTTCTGTGTATTCACCTCAGCAGATTCCTCCAGATATTCCATTCCTAAATCTTCTTTTTGACTGCAGCAATACCCCTTAAACGAACTGGGATCTTTCTCCTGGTCGGATAAATGGAATGCAGATGTTTGCTCAGTTAGCGGCACCGAGTGGGAAAATTGTAAGTTCTAGTCACAGCGCAGTGAAGAAACATAGGGCATTATCTCCAGCTTGTTGGCCAGTAATTATCCCACAAATAAAACAGACTGTCAGATTATTAGCACATTGCTGTTTGAGGGATCTTTAATATAATTAAAAAATTGTTCTGCAGCCCTGTTTTCAGTTGCGTAACGTCGGTTAACAGCACATGATGGACTAGACCCTTCGTAAAAATGTTTTTCCTTGGGTTGCTAGACCCGGGTTCAGGTCTATTTATTAAACTGCACCAAGTTCCCACACTTAAATACATTGATAATACAGTGGGAATCAAATGTTTAGAATTGCGTTCGAAAATGCCACTCGATTTGCAGCTACGCAAGCGAGCTTGATCGAAAACTGGCTTTGGAAAAGTGATGCGATCGTAAAAATGGCCCACAAGGTACACTGCGGGTGGCCAGAAAGCACCAGACTGCTACGCCTTACGTGGCCCAGTCAGACATCATCACGGAGTAAGAAAGGACATGACCCACTGTAATTGGAGCGCAGCAGCACAGAAAAGAGTAAAGAGTAATTGCATTTATATAGCACCTTCCACCACCACATGATGTCCCAAAGAGCCAATGAAATACTTTCGCAGAGCAGTCCCTGCTGTAACAAAGCACAGCAAGCTCCCACAACAGCAATGTGAGAATGATCAGATGATCGTTTTTTTTTTGTGAAAATGGTTGGAACAAGTCGAGGGTTTCAATGGTTAAGAACTCTCTTGTCCTTCTCTGAAATTCAGATGTTGAATCTCTTGAGCCACAGTTTAATGCCTCATCCAATAGGCAGCTTCAGTGCAGCTCTCCCTCGGGGGATTGTTGTGTTCAGGTCTTTGGAGCGAGACTCGAACCCACAACCTCCTGGGTCAGAGACGGAAGAGTTGCTCACTGGGCTGCGACTCGCCTTGTAGAAACGAGTTGTGAAACCCTGCAAACCATTAGAGACCTGACATCTGTGGACAGACCGGATAATGGAAACCATCTTGAGAGACAGAGAGAGTAGTTTGAAACAAAAACAGGGTTTTATAAAGCATAGTCAATGTGGATTGAGTGGGGCAGGTCTTCTTGGCTGATCTATCTGGGCATGTAACCAAGTCAGGCAACTTTTAAGATTTTTTGATATTCTCTCGTGACATGTGGGATGTGCACGTCACTGTCTGGGGGCAGCATTGTTTGCCCGTCCTTAGTTGCCACTTGAGATGGTGGTGGTGAGTTGCCTTCTTGAGCTGCTGCGGTCAATGCGCTGTAGGTAGACCTCCAATGCCCTTAGGGGGGGAATTCTAGGAGTTGACCCAGTGACAGTGACTGAATGGTAACATATTTTCCAAGGAAGGACAGAGAATGGCTTGGAAGGGAACTTGCAGGTGGTGGTGTTCCCCTGTATCAGCTGGCCGACTTCTATGCATTTGTCTTAAGGGCTGTTATAGTTAAAGACCTGAACTAAGGCACAGCTACAAAGGAGGGCAATAAAGACACGCCTGGTGCCCTAGTTACCCTTCAGACAGTACCAGAAAAGACATGAATTATTGCTGTGTTAGAGTTTGTTGCGTATCAATTGGCTGCTATGTTACAACAGTGACTACACCTCCAACACTCACCACCTTGACTATACAAGTGCTTTAAGGCGGCCTGGTTTTAAGAGCAGAAGGTTTAGTGAACATTAATCTGTACAACATTGCATCTTGTTCAACAACAGAAGTTGCTGGAGAAACTCAGCAGCTCTGGCAGCATCTGCGGAAGAAAGCAGAGTTAACATTTTGAGTCCAGTGACTCTTCGTCGGAACTCACTCTGTTTTCTTCCCGCAGGTGCTGCCAGAGCAGCCGAGTTTTTTTTTAATGCAGCAATTTCTGTTATGGTTCAGATCTCCAATGTCTGCAGTTCTTTGTTTTATTTTAATTGAATCTTCTTCCTTTTTCAAAATGCTCTTTTGCCCACAGTCCTGCGTTCAGTGGCACTAACAAAGGACTTTTGCTTCTCTATTTTCCAGGGTCTAAAGGACATACAAGCAAGGTGAGATGAAATTAAATACAGACAAACATGACACAACATGGAAAGACAATGTGAACTAAATGGTAAAATGTTCAAGGGGTGCAGGAATAGAGAGACCTGGGAGAGATATGTATACAAAGATCTTTAAGGTGGTGGAAATGAAGTCAAGGAGCCTGCCTAAGATGAGCCTATGTGATCCTTTGATTGTATGAATAAAGTACAAAAGCAAAGAGATAGTAGGAACTGCCGATGCTGGAGAATCTGAGATA